AGTCCCCTTGACAGGGGTTCCACAGAAGGTGCAAGTCCTGTACATTGAGATAATTGATCGATATCTGCGTGCTTTAGAGTCGGGTTGTTTGGGATCGCAGCCCAAAGTCGGTGGTAAACTTCATCTAAGACTTAATATTGCCACGAGACCGATAGCAAACAAGTACTGTGAAGGAAAGTTGCAAAGCACTTTGAAGAGAGAGTTAAAGAGGACGTGAAACCGGTGAGGTGGAAACAGATAGAGTCGGCGTATCTTTCAAGTATTCATTTACATTATTCTTATGTTGTGATATCTGAGCTCCAGATTGGGACAGAAAGAAGCAGCATAATTTTCTGTGATGCATTTACTTGTTTGGTGCTTGGGGATGTTTGAGGCAGATTTGTGTCCGTCGTTTTGAGGCCAGCTTGCTGGTACCCAAACGGTGTTAGCATTTTTTGTCTTGGACATTTGAGTATGGCTTACGGGCATTTATTGGTTCGATCTGAGTGTAAGTTACGGTCGCATGCGACACGTGCTTTTCAATTAGTTCGGTCCAGTTAATGCTCTCGTACTCGCTCCCCATGTAAAGGCCGGTCATCTATCCGACCCGTCTTGAAACACGGACCAAGGAGTTTATCGTGTGCGCAAGTTTTTGGGTGTTAGAAACCTAAAGGCCAAATGAAAGTAAATGGCTCTTTAGAGTCTGATGTGCGATCTTGTAAAAAAGTGCAGCATGGCCCCATTCTAACTGTTTACAGTAGGGTGGCGGAAGAGCGTACGCGCTGAGACCCGAAAGATGGTGAACTATTCCTGAGCAGGATCGTACCCATATCCGCAGCAGGTCTCCAAGGTGAACAGCCTCTAGTCGATAGAATAATGTAGGTAAGGGAAGTCGGCAAATTAGATTCGTAACTTCGGGAAAAGAATTGGCTCTAAAGGTTGGGTCAGTCGGGCTGTTGTGTGAAACAGGTGGACATCAACGTACCTGAATCATGCCGCCAAGATCTACTTTCCCTGTGAGCTCAGCCTTGCCGTACGGAAATGAAGCTTGTACAACGCCAGCATCGTTCCATGCGTAGCCGTGCACCGGCTTTCCGTTCTTGTACCACAGTGCGACGTACATGTTCTGCTGGCCCAGCACTTTGACAGGATTGTCCGGAAATGGCGACCCGATCGGTTTGAACGCCCACGTATCCTCATTCGGGGCTGTATTGCTGTGAAGTTGAAGTTGCATGAAGATATGTTGTTGTTGACGGTGACGAGTATGAAAAACGAGCTGCTTTTATAGTGTTTTTTTGCTGATATTCCAGTCTTCCTTCTTGATAATATACTATAAAAGCCCCCACATTTCATTCTTTTCCACCAGCTCTAATGCAATTCTACATGCTCATCCGCTGCCTTCATCCAATGGGGCTCGACACCGGACCTTTGGCCAAAAAGTCGTCAACGCTGTGCTCTCTGCTGCTGCTGCTCACCATCGCCGCACATGCAATTCCCGGTCAGGACAACAGCGAAGAAGTCGGATTCGGCAAGCACACGAAGACAAACGACACAGTGATGCTCGCCGGCGAACCCATAGTTGCCAACAATACGTACTTCAACTTTACTAGTTGTCGCTTCAAGGAGCTGTATCCGGACGCCTGCGATGTTTCAATCGAAGACGACTACATGTGAGGACTTTTTTTATTCTTTTAAAGACTAATCGTAACTAACATTTTCTTTTATTTCAGCGAGCTTCGGTACAACAACGGCAGCAAGGGATGCACTGTGGATCTTCTCAGCAAAAACGCGTCGAACAACAGCACGATCAAGTTCACGACCGGAGTGCGAAACATAAAAGGAGGACTCAGCAAATGCCTTGATGTTGGTCATAAACTCGACGGAAGCTATAACAACACGTGAGTTTTTACTTCCTTATTCTATTTGGCAGCTAATTTATGTTCCTTAACAGGATTCTTAACAGGCATTGCAAGTTTACTTTGAACAAATCAGAGTGCTTCAAACAGGCGTTTTCGCTTGAATGATCGTGCATGGAATAATAGAAAACGATTTTGGTTCAGTTTTATTGGTTTTACGGACTGAGATTTGTATGGCCCCGTGAGAGGTGAAATTCTTGGACCGTGGCCAGACAAACTACAGCGAAAGCATTTGCCAAGAATGTCTTCATTAATCAAGAACGAAAGTCAGAGGTTCGAAGGCGATCAGATACCGCCCTAGTTCTGACCGTAAACGATGCCAACTAGCGATCCGCCGATGGAAATTATATTGCCTTGGTGGGGAGCTTCCCGGAAACGAAAGTCTTCCGGTTCCGGGGGAAGTATGGTTGCAAAGCTGAAACTTAAAGGAATTGACGGAAGGGCACCACCAGGAGTGGAGCCTGCGGCTTAATTTGACTCAACACGGGGAAACTCACCCGGCCCGGACACTGTGAGGATTGACAGATTGATAGCTTTTTCATGATTCAGTGGATGGTGGTGCATGGCCGTTCTTAGTTCGTGGAGTGATTTGTCTGGTTTATTCCGATAACGAGCGAGACTCTAACCTACTAAATAGCTGGTACATACTCTTAGTGTATACAGCTTCTTAGAGGGATTTGCGGTGTTCAGCCGAAAGAAATTGAGCAATAACAGGTCTGTGATGCCCTTAGATGTCCGGGGCTGCACGCGCGCTACACTGGCAAAATCAACGTGCTTGTCCTACCCCGAAAGGGGCGGGTAAACCATTGAAAATTTGCCGTGATTGGGATCGGAAATTGCAATTATTTTCCGTGAACGAGGAATTCCAAGTAAGTGCGAGTCATCAGCTCGCGTTGATTACGTCCCTGCCCTTTGTACACACCGCCCGTCGCTGCCCGGGACTGAGCCATTTCGAGAAATTTGGGGACCGTTGATTTAATTTTTCTAAATTACTTTGATGGAAACCAATTTAATCGCAGTGGCTTGAACCGGGCAAAAGTCGTAACAAGGTAGCTGTAGGTGAACCTGCTGCTGGATCATTACTTTATGTGATGTTGAAATTTGAATTCGCAACATAAATATATTGTTGTGAAACGGCTGTCGCTGGTGTCTAGGTGTTGCTGATACAGTTGTGAACGTCCGTGGCTGTATATGTGGTGACATGTTAGGACTAAGACTTAATGAGCCTCTTAAGTGAGGACGCCAGCACTCTTTTTTTCTCTATATTTTTAAAAAAAAACTAAAATTCTAGCCTTATCGGTGGATCACTCGGCTCGTGGATCGATGAAGAACGCAGCAAACTGCGATAATTTGTGCGAACTGCAGAAACCTTGAGCACAAAAGTTTTGAACGCATATTGCCGCATTGGGGTCAAACCTTTTGCTACGTCTGGTTCAGGGTTTTTCTTTTAAAGCGAAAGCTTTAATTTATATATGCTATTGATGCTTTATATTTTAAGAGGATTGTTGTTTATCCTAGTTGTATGAATATAACTACAAGAACCAAACAATTTTGACCTGAACTCAGTCGAGAGCACCCGCTGAACTTAAGCATATCAGTAAGCGGAGGAAAAGAAACTAAACAGGATTCCCCCAGTAACGGCGAGTGAACAGGGAAATGTCCATCGCTAAATCATTTTGTCTCAGGCATTATGAGGTGTAGCGTATAAGCCGTAATTTTTGATCAAGTGTCTCAAACAAGTCCCCTTGACAGGGGTTCCACAGAAGGTGCAAGTCCTGTACATTGAGATAATTGATCGATATCTGCGTGCTTTAGAGTCGGGTTGTTTGGGATCGCAGCCCAAAGTCGGTGGTAAACTTCATCTAAGACTTAATATTGCCACGAGACCGATAGCAAACAAGTACTGTGAAGGAAAGTTGCAAAGCACTTTGAAGAGAGAGTTAAAGAGGACGTGAAACCGGTGAGGTGGAAACAGATAGAGTCGGCGTATCTTTCAAGTATTCATTTACATTATTCTTATGTTGTGATATCTGAGCTCCAGATTGGGACAGAAAGAAGCAGCATAATTTTCTGTGATGCATTTACTTGTTTGGTGCTTGGGGATGTTTGAGGCAGATTTGTGTCCGTCGTTTTGAGGCCAGCTTGCTGGTACCCAAACGGTGTTAGCATTTTTTGTCTTGGACATTTGAGTATGGCTTACGGGCATTTATTGGTTCGATCTGAGTGTAAGTTACGGTCGCATGCGACACGTGCTTTTCAATTAGTTCGGTCCAGTTAATGCTCTCGTACTCGCTCCCCATGTAAAGGCCGGTCATCTATCCGACCCGTCTTGAAACACGGACCAAGGAGTTTATCGTGTGCGCAAGTTTTTGGGTGTTAGAAACCTAAAGGCCAAATGAAAGTAAATGGCTCTTTAGAGTCTGATGTGCGATCTTGTAAAAAAGTGCAGCATGGCCCCATTCTAACTGTTTACAGTAGGGTGGCGGAAGAGCGTACGCGGTGAGACCCGAAAGATGGTGAACTATTCCTGAGCAGGATCGTACCCATATCCGCAGCAGGTCTCCAAGGTGAACAGCCTCTAGTCGATAGAATAATGTAGGTAAGGGAAGTCGGCAAATTAGATTCGTAACTTCGGGAAAAGAATTGGCTCTAAAGGTTGGGTCAGTCGGGCTGTTGTGTGAAACAGGTGGACATTGCTCGTGGCTGCTTTCGCTTCCTTTCGGGGCGGCGCTTGTGGACTAGTAGTGAGGACTGCTTGTGGAGCGCTTCAGCTGCGTGCTATTTCGCAAGATATAGTACTTCGATTGGCGCTGAACAACCAGTTTAGAACTGGCACGAACTCCGGGAATCCGAATGTCTAATTAAAACAGAGGAGACGGAAAACAGAGGAGACTTAATATTGCCACGAGACCGATAGCAAACAAGTCACTCACTCACTCACTCACACCCAATCTTAATTTTGGAGTCCCATGGGGTATCCCCCCTTCAGGGAGGATCCCCCATTACTAGTCCTCCATCGGTTTTACGCTCCATTAGACTCACTAACCATTTTTTAGGTTAGTGAATCTTGTGAAGCCTCTCCTCTTACCTGCCTAGATTCACTAATCAGAGATTAAGTGAATCTAGGGACGCGTATATGTCCTCCACTGTGCCGTTTGCTGAAGTGGCTCCTGTTCCGTCCTCCGCTGTGCTGTTTGCTGTAGTCGCTCCTGTTCCGGTTTCCGCTTGTCCTATACTCCCTGGTGCTCCTTCTTCTGCTGCTGGCCCCTGCTCGGTCTCGTCTTCTACGTTGCCCTCATTGCCATAGTGTGCTGTCAACTGTTCCGTTAGACACGTATCACAAGGGCACCACGGTGGAGACCCCTTTAGATTTCTAAAAATAGGGATACATTCTCACAAAAATCTAAACTCATAAACTTACCGAACGATGATCATCATCTCCGAGAGCGGTTTTCCAAGGACGCATTCCGCCTTTCCAGCTTGTGAAAAGTAGGCTTCTTCCGTCTTCATGTTCAAGGTGCCGAGCAGTGTTCCACCAGGACGATTAACCCATAGAATGGGCATCGAGTCGCCGCACCGAACCAGTTGACGTTCATCGGTCTTTTCGAAGCGGTCCTTGTACTTGATCCACTCGTACCAATAGCCGAGCGAGTTATGGTCTCCGTTGTACTGCAGCACCTGAGAAGGAAAGAAAACAAGTTATGAATTAGATTACTAATAAAAAGACTCAACGTACCTGAATCATGCCGCCAAGATCTACTTTCCCTGTGAGCTCAGCCTTGCCGTACGGAAATGAAGCTTGTACAACGCCAGCATCGTTCCATGCGTAGCCGTGCACCGGCTTTCCGTTCTTGTACCACAGTGCGACGTACATGTTCTGCTGGCCCAGCACTTTGACAGGATTGTCCGGAAATGGCGACCCGATCGGTTTGAACGCCCAACTACATAAGGATCATTATTAATTTATTGATTGATTTTGCCCCGCCCCTAAAGAGACGTGCAGGGAAAATAGAAATGTGATGACTCATCCCAAACCTTTTGTCACTGTCTAAAATTGCACGCGACAAAATGGTACAGGACAAAACACCACATGCCAAAACGCCATTTTTTAAAAATAATTAAGTTCCCAGTGGCGGGGTCGATCCGGTGACTCCTAGCCTAAAGGCGGAGACACTAACGACTCCGCCACTGGGAAGCTTAATTAAATTGAATAATTATTTAACATAAACCCTATTCTTTTTTTTTGATACAGGGACGCTTTAACTTGCGTGTTTCATCGCGCACGGTTCAGTGCCATATTTCGTCGCAATCGGACTTAAAAATGTTAAATGTTCAAAATATCGATTTAAAAATTTGAAAATTACATGGTCAAGGGTTTCTAAAAATATTAATTCACAGGACATTCAGATCCAATGGGTAAATTATAATGAGTAATTGATCTGGGGAGCCCTACTAGGGGAATATCTTTAATATTGCTAGCAATGGCATTTTCTTGAGTTGAAGTAATTAAACCTCTATTGCGCAAAAATCTAAGAATTAGAACCCAACATAAAATAATTAGAGGTATTTTTAATGAATAAATCAATAAAAATAAAAGAATATCATAAGCTATAAACTTGTTAGATCCCTTAAAATTGTCATCAAGATTTAAAGCGAAAGATATATTATCAGAAATATTAGAGTAATTTTGCATGTTAAATGTCTGAATGATTTTAATAACCAATTATTTATACAAATTCTCTAACCAAGATTGGAATCGGAAACGATATGACGATTATAATCTATCATTAACATTTGATCAAATTCTCCTAAGATAATCATTTCAACTCCCCCAGAAGGAATGGGAGAATTAAATTCTAAACGGATACTTGTAGTACCACTTCTAAGCAACTCAAATCCACAAGAGTCGTCAAGTGTTGAAGTCAAAGGTATCACAAAAAATGTCCAGCCATTTTTGAATCGGGACATTGGAATATCGATTGACCGATCAGAGTTAGCCATCCCCAATGCTTCGTACATGTCAACGAAAGCTCGAACAAAAAGATCTTTTTCAAATTTTAGTTTATAAGCAACCATGGGATAAATATGCCCACCAGTATGAACCGAGATTTCTCTCAAATCAAATGGTTTAAAGTTAAATGGTGAAAGTGCCATGTCCCCATTAAAGGCCTTGTTTGATACCAAAGCAACTGTGACTCTTCTCGGTATCGTAGCACTAAAAGCATTATATTCAATTTCTGTGCGGCCCGCGGTTAAAAAGGTCGATTTCATTTCAGTTCTTCTTAGAGCATATGTAGCAGGCTTTGATTCAAGCGTTTTGTAAATGTTCATATTGAGTGATGGTTGTACTTCAATCATTTTAGAAAAAAGTTTGACGTCATGCACATAAAGTCTATACTCATTTTTATCATCAGCTTTAAGTTTATGCAAAACAAAAGAATTTTTACTTCTATAGATGCTAAAGTTTATATCTAAGTTATTGAGTAAAAATAATTCCTGGTTTCCCAAATCAAAATCTAATCGTGAAAGAAACTGAGATCTTTTACCCCCAGCAAATAGCGAACATCGATTTATAAATCCTGAATCAAAAGCATCATCATGCTTTTCGCTTTTATAGTACCCAACTGATGCAAGAAAATTAGACTTAACATTGTCAGGAAATGATAATTCATTGGTTATATATGCTTTATATGGATAAAGAGTACCACTATCGTAAATTTCAGTAGTACCAACATTAACTTTTAATTGTTGAACAAATGTTTGCCCGATACCTTGAATGGTTCCAATATTTGTATCTTTAGTTGAATCAATATCTTCCCATTTACCTGTGTCACCAAGCTTTTCAATAGAAAGTTCAAGATAAAGATAGGTTCTGGAAAGATCTGTCCAGAGATTATCACTGAACAAACGAAACAAATAAGGCGAATCTTGCGTTATTGTGCTAAGGGGTAGAATCTCTCGAAAAAAGGAACGGATAACAGAAACATTAGTTGGAGGAACGGAAAAAATATTCAGTGCGCTATTTAAGGCCAAAGGACTATTTTCATTAATTTGTTTAGGACAACTCATGTTAGTATGTGCCTAAAGTATCTACTCGTAAACGTTTGTTAGCGGGAATTTTTCTAGGAGATTTTTTCGAAGGTTTCCTAGCAAGATTAGGAATAAAATTAGGAGGGCCAATACGGGAATATGCCCGCTTATTTATAGTCTTAAGCTTTATATCATTTTTTTCATCATTCATTTGACCAAGGGACGGATGCTTTTCAATATTCTTGTAACGTTTAAAATCAAAGCCTTTGCCAGTTTGTTTATCAACGTTATCTGCTGCTTTCTGTAATAAATTTTTTAACCCTGATTTGCCTTCATTAATTAGAGATTCTTTGAGATTCTTTCCTTCCAGAACATTACTTAAAACTTTATTGCCCGATTCTAGTCCTTGTTTACCTATGGCACTACCAATTTCTTTCCCGATAGGTATGAGATAACGGAGAAAACTTCTGAATACTGAACCTAATCCACTTCCTCTCTGGTAAGGAACACCGCGAAATACGTTATACCCACCCCATTGATTAGGCTGCTCGGTCAATGCTGACCAGTTAATATGTGAGGGATCAAAATCGATATGCATTTTAAGTTGAAAATGAATATTTTTAATCTAACTATGTATATTAAATATTTTTGATGCAATAAATTCTGTTACAAATTTATCAGCATTTATATTTTTAAGAAATAAAATTATTTCATTCATGTGAAAACCGGAACAGCGCATATAGAGATAAAATATTGCATGATGACCACACGAGCGCGTAAACATACCCTGAAGTTTAATGGAATTAAATCGAACTCTTTGAAATTTTTCTAAATAATTTCGAATATGGGAGCTCATCGGTGGCCATATTCCCAACGAATCATAGTATTCAATAGTTTTAATGGAATCACAAAATATTGCTATCCAGTGTGTCCCAGGTGAATTATTAGGATCTATGTTAATTACTGCACAAAAAGGGGAATAGGTTGACTTATAAGGGATACAGTTAGAGGCATAACAACCGATATAATATTTTTTGGTAACAGAATTTCTGTTTAAAATCTTATCAATCTGAATAGTATTCATTATTAAAAGTAAGTAGATTTTTTAAAGTGTAATGTCAATGTACATGTTCCATACTGAAAAGGCATCAAGGACCCGCTAGTCGTGCGAATTTCAATTAAAATTTCGGAAATTTCTTTAACAAGCAATTTATGATATTGAATAGAAAGAAATTGTTCCTCAATTATTTCGTCTTGTTTTCCCCGAATGGTTACAATACGGAGAACTGGAGCGGTAATATCCCCAATAATCATTGGTTCAATTAGACCTGGTGCATAAACGTGAAAACAAGAAACCCCTCCTCTCATATCTGGCATAAACTTGGCAACACAAGATTCCTTTAATATTTGTGAATCAAAACCAAGAATATATGCAAGCTGCTCGCTTATTTCAATTTGTTCTATATACTTCTTGTCGATAAATAATGAAAACCTATTTTTATGTGAGTGGAACTCAAAGTCACATGCAAATTTTGGTTTTCGATATACTGTAATCCACGGTTCAAAGCCACTTTCACGAGTCAGTTCAATAATTTTCCTAGTTTCTATAGGTAATTTGTCAATTTCTGCTTTAACCATATCGTTGTAAATCTCTGTTTCACTTCTCAGTTTAGGAATTTCGCCCTCAGGAATAATCACATGTTTTTCAGTTGTTACGTTTGTAGATACCTCTTTACTGCTCTGTACTAGTTCTTTTAATTTTTTGTACTCTTCCTTAGCCTTGCTTCGTGTTTCCTTTAATATATTGGTATACTCAATTTGACAACCGCGCATTTTTTCCGAAAGTGCCTCACTTCCTTCATTAAGAGATTTGTCAAGGCTTTGTTTTAAATTTAGAGGGTTGGTTAAACTATTAGAAGGTACTGCTAAACGAACAATCTCACCACTTTTCCAAACAACTGTTATATTTTGTTCGGTTGTAGTCCCAAGTGAAGGCCAGGAATGAGGATAAACCATGACAGATAATCCAACATTCCATTCAGAATTAAATTTTAGTTTATGGGGTAATCTAACTCTAAAAGAATTAGTTCTATTTCCTTCAACATTAGTATTGGATGGAATAATTATATAAAAGGAAGTCATTTTTATTTTAAATATTTAAAATTTCATTTATGTATATTATCTCCAAAGAACAGAATTAGCAGGTATCCAACTGTTATGTTCAGACCCATAATCTTTCCATTTTACAAAAAGATAATCCACACCATTTCGTTTCCTTTTTCTCAAAACCTTTTCAATGTCATAAATATTTTCATTCTTTTTAAGATCTTCTTTAACGAGAATTAAATCATTCCCATAAAACCACCCAATAATTTCTTCACCTTTACGATCGCGAATTTTATAAGTTGGAGGTTGATGGGGAACCAATCGAACCTGGTCAATAATGAAAATTTCATTTGTAAAATTTGGTAGGTATCCTTTTTGGAATATATGTTTATATTTTTCTATACGAACATTATCCCCAACAGAAAATTTTTTATTTCTCCAACTTGATGGCGCGTGTTTTGCAACAGCCTTTTGCTTTAATAATAATCGCAAACGTTCTGCATTTTTATAATTCACATCAATAGGTCTCATGCCAATACTAGAGTTAAAAGAACGATTAATGGACAAAACAATTTTCTGGATAACGTCTAACCATTTTAAAGTTTTATTCTCTGTAAAATAACGATAAAGTCGCTCTTTGATACTACGATTAGCCCTCTCAGCCATTCCTGCATGCCATACCGGGGAAGTGAGCATTGAGAAGTGTTCCATATCTATTGAGCGAAAATATTTTTGTACAAATTTTGCAGTAAATTCTAATCCTTGATCTGTTAAAAGTTTCCAGGGTATTATTCCGACTCGAGAAAATAATTTTTTAAAAGCTTCAATCTTATTAGTACTATGTTTACTTTTTACTGGTTCAACAAATATTTGTCGGCTAAGTGTATCAATACATACTAATAAATATTTGTATCCACGATTATGTTTACTAATTTTATCAAAAACACTAAGATCGGCCTGCCATTCTGTGTGTAAGCCTGGAGCTAGTGTTGGCATGCGATTATACTTTCTAATTACTCTTCTATGTAATGTATAAACATTTTGGCTTGCAAGGTAATCTCTCACAATATTTCGAGAAATACTTTTATCTAATCGCCTTGCTTCCTTTAAAAGTGGTTCAACGGATGTGAAACATGTAGTCGAATTAACATTTTTGTATAACTTGTCAAGAATTTTGATTTTGCTTTTATTTAATTTTGCCATAATGATGGTTTATATGAAAAGGTGTGTTTAAATAATCCTTCACCTTCTTGCTTGCTAGTTGAAGATTTTGAAGGAAAAAGAATATTTTGTAATATCGAATGGCTATTTATTCTACGAATAAACTCATCATAACCAGTAGGGAATGGTCTTTTGCGTTTACCTTTATTTTTAATTATATAGCTTAAAATCTCATCAATATTACTAGTAACAAAGGATTCTTGAGTACCTAATCTTCTGGCTAACTTACCACTGGGCAATATGCCAAGTTCATTAGCATGATCTCTTAAATATTGACGAGCTTCTTCCAGAGGATCTGTTTCACTATCTACAGAAAAAAATTCTTCACCCTTTTCATTCTCAATTCCATCAGAATTTTCTATCTTTATTGTTTGAGCTGGAAATTTTACTCTCTTTCTTATTGTAACATTACCATATGATTTTCTTTTGGGTTTTCTTATTATAATTTTTCTATATTTTTTATTTTTATTAATTTCTTCTCTACCTCCCGGTGGACTTTTATTTAAATCGACATTTTTAGTTACGGCATCAGCAAATTCTTCAAAATTTTTGAGTTTCACATCAATAGGCTTCTCTTCTTTTTCTTTAATAAGCTTGTTATACCTTTTAAAATCTTGCTCGTAACGAGCCGCTCTTGTTGTAGGATCTAATGAATTATTGCTTGCACTAGTGTTTTGTAAACGTTCTTTTATTAAGCCTAAGGCCGTCCCGTCTCCATTTCCATCAATTTTATCACTATTTACTAAACTTTCATAAAAATCCTCAGGAATTAAAATCATTCGCTTCATTGTTAATTAAAATTTATATTATCAAATTTTATTTATATTATTTAAAAATTTTATCGGTAATTAAAGGTAAAACTAGACTAGCAAGAATACCCGCTAAAGGATAAATCCCGTTTCCTTGTTGCAATAAACACCGTGTTGAGGAAGCACTTCTAGATCTACTGATTTTCCTCAATATATTTGCATGTTTTTGCAAATTAATAATTCTATTTCTATGAAAAGGTAAACGCCCCTTTAATAAATTAAAACAAATTTCAACGAAGCATAACAACTGTTCAGCGGATGCGTTTAATAATATATCATTTATTACCTTTCTAGATTTTTTAGATTCGCAAACTGTATTTAAGAAACTTACATTTTTCTCAATTAATTTGCTTGTAGAAATTTTTTTATTCATTTTGGAATATAAACTATAGTTTTTTCTCCCGTATTATAATATATATGTGTTCGAAGTCGTAAAAAGTCGGGAGTACTAGGATGTATATCAACTAACAAATATCCAAAGTTTTCTTTTGTAGCATTAGAATATGATTCCAGAAAGTATTTTGATTTTGAAGGGAATAATTGGGTTGCAAGTGTTTTAATTTGCAAAGCTCCTGCCGGATTTCTCATTAATAAAAGATAATGAGAATTATTACGGGCAACTTTTAATTCTTTACTGAATAAATGTTGTGTTATTAATATAACACTCATTTGCCAGTTATGAGACCCTTTAGTAAATATTGTATCTAAAAATATTTGGTTCATCCCAACCATTAAATCATCTAACACTAGTAACATTCTTCCATGCCTTGCTTGTTGCTTTATAAATTCATTTCCCCCGTTAGGCAACCCATTATGAACAATAACTTGTGTTTTACCTTTATTTACAAAACCTTTACGTTGCATATTTATAATATTAGAATTTAATTCACCATAACAATAAAAGACTAAATCAATTTGATTATGTTTTTCATTTTCATAAGTAACCATTTCCTCCAAATTTTCCAACAAATTTTTAACCCATTCTGATTTTCCAGACCCTGTGCTTCCGGATACTATCATAGTGAACGGGTGTTTAAAACCAGTGTGCATAATATTGACTTTTTCAAATCCATTCATTTTTATCTAATATACAAATTAAATTCAGAATATTATATATAGAAAGTTGAATTTTATTATCTTATTATTAAATTATGGAATTTTATAATATCATGCCTTGGGGTGTTATTGAAGACGATGAGCCTCCGTCAAATACAAATCACACAACAAATCAAGTTAATCAAGAAGCCAAAGAGGCAGATAAAAAGGTAAAAATATTTTTATAAAAAATTAAAAGCAATTTTTTAGAATGAAATAGATGTAATCACACCTGCTTTTGGAATACTTAACATCGTAGATGATTTAACCGAAGAAAAGGAAGACGAGGTTAATGATGAAAAAAATCTAGATGCAAGTGAGAAATTACTTCGTATGGTTATAGACGATAATGAGGATAAACCATTAGATTGGACTGCTGAAACAGAAAATACATTTCGTGAACCAACACCACAACCACAAACTTCAGCCATTTTCCCTATTAACAAAATAACTAAACAACATGTTCGAACAAATAAAGTCTCTATTCCTTTACTTGACTATCTTTGCGAAATGAAAAACTGTTCGCTTAAAGAACTACATGTGCTTTTTCATAATCTCGATGTTCGGCGAGAAATCATTAAAAATTTGCAACAAGATGTTCAAATACGTACTTCTCATCTAAAGCCGAGTTGTAAAAATTTCAATGTCTATTGCCATGATTTAACAGCGCAATCTGCAAGTAATGTTCTGGCTATGGGAGGATATCTTGGAATAACGGTAAATTAACATTAACTGTTAAATAGGATTGTTTTTACTTTAGGTTCGCGGCTACTACTACGTCAAGCACAAACTCAAACTCTGCCACCCATATTTACCGTGTCTTATTCAATTTGGAGGAGGACATCATCGATCATTTTACCCGCTCGAATGTTTATGTGTGATCCATAACAAGATGAAAGGAGGATGTTCATAGATAAATATTTAATTTTAAAATTAATAAAAAAATTTTTTAATTATTCAATAATCTTATTTTTTAGTATACATAAAATATTGTATTTTTTTTATTTTTGTAAAGTAAATATTATGCAAATCGAAAATTGTACTGCTGTTTTTAAACTTCTTCCTTATAATAAACGATTTTCTTATGAAAATTTTATTCAACTTGCTCGTCATGGGATAAATACTGAATATAATCCCCGACGATTCCATTCAATAATTATGCGAGTTCGCCATCAGGAATATAAAACAACGGCAGCACTTATTTTTCAATCTGGTAAGGTTGTTCTTACTGGTGTTCCAACCCCTTCTCTGGCAAACAAAATGGCTTGGCGTGTAACCAAGCGAATTCAATCTTCATATATGGCAACAGGCAATAATTATTCTTATTTAAAAATCGGTGTAAGAAATCTTATCGTTACAAATATTGTTGGTGCCTATCGTCATCAAAAAAAGCTGGCAATTGAACAACTATATTCTTATCTTCGGCAAAGACAACATATAACTTGTTATTACGAGCCAACAATATTCCCAGCACTTCGTTTTAAAATAAAAATAGAAGGGAGGGATGGAGAAGTTTCTTGTCTTTGTTATATTTCAGGACGTGTAATACTGACGGGATTAAAATCTCAAAAAGAAATGGAATTTATTTTTGAAAATGATATATTACCATTGCTTGAAAAATTTCCACGATTATAAAATTTATTTAAAAAATAAAATATTTACAAATAATATCAGGATAATTTTTGTGGTGTGGTAAAAATAAAAAATTTTACAAAATTATTGATGATATCTAGTTAAATAATCACGATTTGTCCAGTTTGATGAACCTGGAACATCTTCTAAATCGAGAATAGAATCGTCAAATTGCCTATTTTGTGGTTGAGCATTATGAATTGGTCCATGATCACTTCCAGTCTGAAGTTTAATAATTAATTTAAAATTATTAAGCAAAAATACCAAAGTTTCTCTATATCCAAACGGAAGAGTTTCCATCCCCGGCATTATTCTTCCCTTTTCATAATACGGTCTATATTGTTTTGTTGTCATGTGCGTGTAAAGTTGTGATCGTCGAGTTCTGCCAATCTGAGGGAATTGCACACATATTGAATTGCCATTTCCACCAGTCCTGTTGAAGATGTCATCAGCAAGCGCTTCGTCCCTAATTGAAAAATTTTTTTATTTAAATAAAAAAAATTAAATTTTACATTATTCCATCAATATTAAATTGTTCAAGCACAATATTCTTCATGCTGTCAAAATTCAGTAGTTGATGTGTAGCATATGAGAGAGGAAAAGACCGGATCTTTAGCTCTGCTCTCTCATCCATCCCTGTATTTGTGTCGACGTGTCTGTAACCATAGTTCTTTGGGCCTCCAGCAACAAATTCCAGAATTCGACGTGAAGGAATTTCACGTTTCATTTTCCCAAGTGATTCGCCTTCGGGTACACGTGGACCATGAACCTTCCCAACATAGATTAAGGAATCGGTGTCGCAATACAGGAGACGGGCGCCAATTTGATGAACTTTCTTCATATACTCATAAAGATGTAAACGAGCATATGAAGTTACAAACGCTGCTACAGGAATACAGTTGGTGTTTGGTGCTTTGGCAAATTCTGCCTTTTTCTGGACTACACATCGATCTAAATGCTCACTAACATGGTCAAAATCGAGCATTTCTGTTGTTGGATCTTCAAATAATTGATGAAATTCTGATGGTGTTTTGGCGTAACGGACTTCAGTTCCACAAACACGCTGTGCAAGTTTGCCCCAAAGTGAGTTTGCCAATAATTTCTAAAATAATTTATTTTACTCTGAGATATTTAAAAAAATACCGCAATCATTCGAAGACCTGGATTGCTCTCAATACGCTCCGGAACCAAACGAATTCCCTCATTACGTTCAAATTCTTCTAAATATTCAGTTCTTTCTGATTGTGAAATACAGCCATCAGGCCAGCCACTTGCTTCTTGCTTTAATCGCACGAATGTATTGACATAAGATTGAAAAAGAGTGTCATCCCAATGATCATAATTCCAAACCTATAATTTAATTTAAATATTTATAAAGTTAATTGATAACCTCATAAATATCCACGACTTTATACCCATATTCCAAAGCAGCATTCAGCTCCACGTGTGTGTAGCCAGTCAACCAGGAACGCTCACGGCTAGAATGCGCACAAGGTCTTTGTTGTTTATCATCGGCGCATTTTGCACAAAGTGGAAACGTGAGCCGACCATCAAATGTTCGATAAGGTAGTAGAGGAGGAAGATTTCCAGGCAAACATGTTGGAGGCTGCACTCGGACAAGAAGCAATCCTTTATAGATGTTGTGCTCAGGAATTGTCCAAGGCAGGCGGTTGTTGTTGTTGTTGTTGTTTGATGAATCCAATAATGTTTCACGAGTCAAAACGTTAGGATGTCCAATAGGGAAGGGCCTTGACTTCATCACATAGGGATAGAGACTTACCTAAATTGAAAACAGTTAAAATCTAATGAATAAAAATTACAATATCTATGTAGATTATCTCCTCATCAGCCCCACAAAAATGATGAAGTTTGAACGGCTCTGTCCTACCACCTCGAAGACAATCTTCCCTAGGATCAAGAGGCCGAACACAATCTATTTCATTCCATTGTCGACGCAGCATAGGACTGTTTCTTAATTTTTCCATCATCTCATGTCCCCAAATAACATGAAGTTCAAATCCATGCTGGTGTTCCAATTCCCAAAGACGTTGTTGTGTCCGTTCATAAAGTTCTTCAGCTGTACGGCCAGCGGCCAATCGTTGATCACGTCGGGGAAAGCACCTGGGACAGCCTAAATTAACCAAATTATATTTTAAATTCTATTTAAATAATGTTTTTGGAAAAATAAATACTTGAGAAATATTTAATAAAATACAAAAGTACCGTGGAAGTAACAACCCATATATTCAATTGCCAATGGGCGCTGTGGGGGAGATCGTTGCCAAAGCCCGTCCAATCTATAACCACAGTCTTCCACGTGTGCTTCTCCCACGGCCCATTGTGCATGCTGAACCTTTCCTGCTGCTTCAGGGTTTTGTTGTTCGAATAAGCGGATGTAACGCTGCGATTCAGCAGAGGCACGCCTTCCTCTCTGATACCCTCCTTCAGGGGAATGGACGAGCCAATTCTCAGGCAAGAAACATCTGCGCATAGTTATGAGAGCTAGACCAGCAATAGTTGATGCTTCCAAGAAGGGATCCAGCTTCTGCGTGTGTTGTCCAATAAGCTGTCGAAATCGTAGCACTCCTTCGCGGAGAATAGCAACATCATTGGCACAATAAAGGATTAGTTGTTCACGGAGCTGGAAATTTGTATTTTGATCATTTAATTGTTGTTGGTGCCATTCGAGAAGTGCTGCTCTTTTCACAGAATTTTTATATTCAGGCTGATAATGATGAAGTGGAGGAAGTCCTCGAATTCTATCATGAAGATTCTGCCTTTTTACAAAAAGATAAGGAAAGAAAGGCTTAGATGTTGCTACTTCTTCTGGCATAGAAAAAAATTTTGTTAGAGCATCAAGCTCACAATTGAAGTAATTGAGCGAGTCTTTGAATAAGACTTTTCTTTTGTTGTTTCCCGCTAACTTCATTGAATATATTTTAAGCCCCGTTGTACATAATCTTGATGGGGGCTCATTGCGCCTGTGTAAAGCCTCAAGCACTAGATGAAAGTCGTATTTTCCACCATTGTGTGCTATACAAATTGTTAGCATTTGCTGTGACCCATGGTGAAGAAGATAATCAAGAAATTGGTCCACTGGGCTCTCATTTTCGTTATCGAAGGAATGGAAAAACAAACGGCGTGGATTAAATGAAATTTTGTCAGGAAAGGTGGTGTTGTCGCCCTCAGCGTTTTTGAAAGGTGGGGAGCACCAGTTACGCCATCTAGCTCCTCTGGGCTTCCCGCAAAAACATCCTTCGGCACGCTGCCCTGCATCTTCAATTGTAATTCCAGCCTTTATACAGTTCTCACAAATTACCTGATAAAAATTTTCATTAAAATAAAAATTGAATGAAAATTCTAAGTTGAAAAAAAAACTTTAAAATATTACCTCGGCAATTATAAGTATTGGAACATGTATATATCCGTTAATATTGCAGGTTATTTGTATATTTTCATCCTGGCTTGTCTCGGCATCAAAGAAGCAAAATCGTATTGGAGGACGTTGTCGTTTCTTTTGTTGTTTTTGTTGTTGGGAATTTTCTTCATCAGACTCTGAATCTTCTTGAACATTTAAAGGCTGAATATAACATGGTAATTCCTCATTGTGAGGACCATGACATTTATTACAAATTAAATTTTGTTGTTGTTGTTGTTGTTGTTGAAGACAATCGTGTTGCTGTTGTTCATAAATAATATGGTGACATATACCACAGATACGCCGCATTTGGCAGATGGAAGCAAAAGTGCGTCGATCGGATCTAATTAATTCTTCAGGGGCAGAATTTATTAGATGATAATCATAACATGGACGGGATGGGAAGATAAATCCACAATTTTGACATGGAACTTTTTCCTCAATCTTAATTAATACGTATTTAATTAAAAATCCAAGAAAAATTAAAAATTTTTATTACATTTAATTAAAATCTACCTGGCAAGGGAAATTAGCACCTGATCGCATGCAGAATCTACAAACAACACTACACCCGGACCAATGTTTCCAGCGGGTATAAGAACGTTCACAATCAATACAAAAGCGTTGCACAGAGAAAAGTTGTTCAGGGCGTCCAATATAATGATAATGCCCATTTTCAAGGAGTAAACATAAATTGTATCGTGCTGCTCTGCCATCACCCTTATAGACTATTCTATATTGTTGTTCCTTTTGAAAGACAACAATACGTACGTAACCTTCACCATCAAAGTGTTGGTTAAGCCAAAGTTGCAAAATTGACACATGTTCAAGAGAATATGCCTAAAATTGAAATATTTTATAACTTTAAAAAATTGGTTAAACAATAAAATATACCACAAGTCCAAAATCAAGTCCTGCATTTCTCATTAAATTTTCTGCTGGGAATAAATGTTGTTGCTGCTGTTGACAAAATTCTTTGAATCTAGCGGCTCCGTTGGCAACGCCTTGATCCACCATTTTAATTCTTGCCAGACCGATAACTACTGCACGAGCAAGACAGTATCTGTCGTTTGGATTGTGAACGCGCACAATCGATCGGCAACGGGACGATAGAACATGGTCGAGTTCCAAATCACAACTACCTGTAGGAAAATAGCAGCCTTATATTTGAATAAAAAATATAAGACCAGTATCGACCTACCAGATCGGGCATCAGGATTATTAGTTCTTTGCGCATTTAATGGCCAAACTCCGACGACCTTTGTCACAGTTGTCCCACTTAACAAATCTATGCCCGCAGCAGAGATTTCGTTCAGTCGTTCAATCGCTGCGGCCAAGGCGGCAGGATTATTCTGGTCCAGTGGGCGAAGCGGAATTGTAAATGCATGTTGGAAATTCGGTGGCTGCACCTGAAGACCAACACGAAGGGGTGCTGGTCTTCCGGCGAGCACCCGATCTAGCAAATGACTTATTAGAACGGTCATTGCTAAATCGGGTCTCTGATGATCTTCAAGCGGGTTGAATCGAATATGGCAAATTTGGCCAAAAGTATTTCGTGAGCGAGAATTGAATTCGGTGACTCGCTCAATTGTGAAGTAGTTGTTCATGTTAATTTCCTGAATTTATATTATTACTTATCTATTCATTTAGTTATTTATTTAAAATCCATAAACAGATTATCACACCTCGACATTAATCCCTCTATACCACTTAGAGCGACGACGCGGGTTTTAACTACTTAATCAATATTGATTGAAATGGAAAATTAATAACAAATAATTTCATAATATTTACCTAGAATAATTTAAAAACAATTTATAGTTGAAAAATATTATGTATTTAAGGCAATAAAGTAAAAGGCTAAAATAATTTCAGAAATTTAAGGTTTATATAATTAAATCATAAGTAAAAAGTAATAAATATTTTGATAATCAAGTTTTTTTTTTTGAAAATATTTATAATATATTTTTTTTAAACTATTTATGATAAAATTTTTAAACAGATATATTTATTATAAATATTTTCAAAAATTTTAAAAAACATTTAGTATAAAAAATTAAGATTTGACAAAAATATTATATAATTAGATAATAAAAAATATATAATTTTTATAAAGTTAATTGAAAAATGAATTTTTTAAATTATATATTTTTAAAATATTACACCTAAATACTACCCAAGACTTGAAATAACTTTTAGTCCAATAAAAATTTAATACCGATTTAAGACTAAACTTCGTTATTTTAAGTCCTAGGCCCCATCTCTTGACGACATAACGGGCAAAAATTAAAATTTCGAGATAAATTCCAAAAACACTTGCGGTGGATTTTATGATTACATTGTAAAATAATAATATTTTGCTGTGGGGCGAATTCCATGTTGCAAGGTCCACACAATGTACCGTCAGAAATAAAATTACTAGTCAGTTTAATACTTGAATTCATTATTGTATCTCTTTGAGCCATTGATAAACCACCAGGCGCAATATAGTGATCGGATACATGACCTTGGCCTCTATACATTTCAGCAACTTCTCTTTCCTCATCACGAATTACACGTGGAATAGAATAATTAAGAGGGGGTGGTGTGCGCCCGGCCGTGCTCAAAATATCACGCAACTAATAAAAAATTGCCCTTATATATTTTAATTTAATTACCCGAATTGGTTGAGCATTTCTACTTGCATTTTGTTGGGAGGCCAATGACTGAAAAATTAATGTTTTATTTAAATATAAAAATTTAAAAATTTTTTTAAATTTTTAAAATTTAAAAATTAAAAGATTTTTAATAATTAAAATTTAGAAAATTAAAAAATTTTTTTTTAAATTAAAAAGATCTTAAAAATAAAAAATTATTTTAAAATTTTAAATAATTTTTTAAAGTATGTATTATTATTTCTATCATCAGTTTAGCAACAAATTTAATTTAAACTAAATTCAATAAAATTTTTTATTTTTTAATATAAAATTCATTCAAAAAATTTTTATTTAATTTTATTCAAAAATTCAATAATAAAAGATTCAAACTTTTAAATAAAATAATGATTAATATTCTATATAAATTTAATCAATAATTATTATATGATTAATTTACTTTTTGCTTTAATCATAACTTACTTTAATAAAAATTTAAATTTAATCAAATATAATTTAAACAAAAAAATCTACACTAAATAATAAATTTATTTTTAAGTATTCAATTTTAATTTACAATTACTTTAATTATAACTTACAATTAATAAAAAATTTAAATTTAATCAAATATAATGTTTATATCCAATATCAAATTTATTTTTAAATTTATATTCAATAAAAAATATATATTTAAATTTATTCAAAAATTCATAACTTTTAAATAACATAATGATTAATATAATAATGTATTAAATGAAATTACATTTTTCACATAAATTTCTTTTCAATATTAAATTAAATTAAATTTTAATAGAAAAAATTTAAAAAATAAAAAATTTTAAAAAATTTTAAAAATAGAAAAAATTTTTTTCTTAAAATAATACAATTCGAATTAATATAATAGTATTAAAAATTAGAAGTTAATAATATAAAAGATTATTTTCAAAAAAAATATTATACTTTTAAAAATTTTTGAAATGATATTGATAATTAAATATAGTTTTTAACTTTCAATGAGTTTTAAATATTAAAATATTTCATAAATTATTTTTAAATGTATTTATTAACCCACATCCTCAATTGCATCATTTTGATTTTCGACGCTAGCACCAGCACCAATTTGATTTGACAAAACACTTGCTACTGCTGCTGCTGCTGCAGAAGTTGACGGTCCGAGTTCAATATTTTGATCTTGTTCAAAATTTCCGTTGTCTAATATTTCAAGTGTTGAGGCGCTAACAAATCTCAGCTTTATGTCGACACTGCCTGACCATAGATGACGAGCTCCTGTCTCTGGTACAACAACAAGATTGCACAACTTAACACGCTAAATAATAATTCAAAAATTTTTTTTTTAATTTTTAAAAATTTACAGTATTTATTTTTGCCCCTTCAAGGCGACTAGCATTGTGCTTCCAGGCAAAGACGCAGACCTTCTCTTTTTCACCAGGTCTACCTATTTCCAGTTGAACATCACCGCGGTCCCACGCGTTTTTTGCGGTGGGACCGCGGTGCGCGTAGACCACATCACCGATGAGCTCACTTAATAAAAAATTTATATAAAAATATAAAAAACTTAGAAATTTTTTTTAAAAGATCTAATAAAATTTTTTTTTGTTATTCATCAATGATTACGTTAAAATTTGATCTTTCTCCCATTGTAACATAAATAGATCGGTTGATGTGCATCCAGTCATGTAATCAACCGTGATGTAGCGAGCTCCTTCAGGCTGTTGTCCAACATAACGATTCTGTCGTTTTTCAATAATCTATTTAAAATTTAAAAAATTATTTAATTTAAAAAATTTTTTAAAATATTTTGAAGTGAAATAATTTAATTCAAAAAAATTTTTCAAATATTTAATTTACAATAAATTTTAATCGGAAAAATTTTTTTTGAAAATTAAAATTGCAAAACATTTTTTAATTTCAAAATAGATTTATCAAAAATTTTATAATTTTAGAATATTTTATTTACTTGTGCTGCAATTTCTAGCGGCATTCTATCGTATTCTTCCAACGGTGCTGGCTTTAAAAATTACTTATTGAAATATTACTTTTAAAAAAATTTACAAAATTTCTCATTTACAAACTCCCATAAATTAAAATATTACTTGGGAGGCAATTCCTAGAGCCATTTGATCTGCCTGTCTAACAGAAATCATCTGAAAAATTTTTAAATTATAAAATATTAAAAAATTAAAATGATTTAGAAAAAATTTTTTTTAATATTTTTTTACTTACTTGAGAGCCAGTTTCTCGAATCATTTGATTAGGTTGTGTAGCACGAACCATCTTAAAAATTTATTTAAGAATTTTTTCATTTATAATGATTTAAGAAATTAAAAAATTTTTTAAATATTTTTAACTTACTTGAGAGCCAGTCTCTCGAACCATTTGATTAGGTTGTGTAGCGCGAAGCATCTTAAAAATTTATTTTAAAAATTTTTCATTTATAGTGCTTTAAGAAATTAAAAAAATTTTTTTAAATATTTTTAACTTACTTGAGTTTCACGAACCACTTGATTAGGCTGTGTAGCACGAAGCATCTTAAAAATTTATTTTAAAAATTTATTTAAAAAAATTTTTATTTATAAAGCTTTGATAAATTAAAAAAATTTTTTAAATATTTTTAACTTACTTGAGAGTCAGTTTCTCGAACCATTTGATTAGGTTGTGTAGCATGACACATCTTAAAAATTTATTTAAAAAAAAATTTTATTTATAAAGTTTTAAGAAATTAAAAAAATTTTTTTTAACTTACTTCGGAGGCTATCTCTGAAGCAATTTGATTCGTTTGTAAACCCGAAATCATCTTAAAAATTTTTTGAAAAACTTTTGAATTTATAAAAACAATAAATAATTTAAAATAATTACCTGAGACACAATTTCACGATCCGTTTGATTTGTTTGTGTACCAATAATTACCTTAAAAATTTATTTAAAGAAATTTTTTTCATTTATAAAGCTTAAAAACTTTAGAATAATTCAGGGAATTTTGTTTAAATATTTTTAATTTACTTGAGAGACATCTGAAGCCATTTGATTCGCCTGTGTATCAGCAACTACTCGACGCTGACCCGTTGCCATAACCTTAAAAAATTAAATAAAACTTGAAAATTTTTTAAAAATTAAAAAATTTTATTTTTCTTTAAAATACATTTTTTAGAATTTTTTATATTTATTAAGTAAAATTTACTCGTTGTTGTTGAGATGCTGGAGCCATTTGATTCGCCTGTGTATCAGGAACTACTCGACGCGGAGCTGGTGCCATAACCTTAAAAATTAAATAAAACCTAAAAATTTTTAAAAATTTAAAAATTTTATTTTTCTTAAAATACATTTTTTGAATTTTTTGTATTTATTAAGTAAAGTTTACTCGTTGTTGTTGTTGTTGAGATGCCAGTGCCGTAGTTGTTAAAATTATTACTGGTGGTGGAGTAGGAGAGGTGCGCTGTCTTGTTCTAGGTGGACTTGGCGAGCTCGGAGAGTCTATTATGCGCCTACGCCTCATTTTCAATTAGTTTTAGAAAATTCTTAAAATTAAAATTTGAAAATAAAAAAAGTAATTATAAAATTAAATTACAGACGATAAAATGAAAATGATTTGTGGTAAAACAAGGTTTTTAAAGGAATTTTGTTTTACCACAGATCTAATCTATTTCTTTAAGTGGACATTTTTTTTTGGTTGGAAAAGATTGGAATGTGGAAAAGATTGGAATGTTTATAAAATAAAAAATTAAATAAAGTAAAATTTGTTTTTTTATCATTTTAACACCTTTAAAGGGGTGCCAACCATTCCAGTAATATCAAGAGTTCTACGTCCAAAGCTGGGATGTTCAACCTTTAAAGATTTTTAATAGTAACATAAAGCCTTCCTATATTTTACCAAACAAACAGACTCAACAGTCATCATAAAATTTATAGAACCCTTTGCAATTGTTGCATAATTTGGCCCTTAAAACAAAAATTCGGAATAGTTGTAAGCAAAAATTTTTTTAAAACTCACATTGTTTTTTAAGACCGGTTCCCTTAAAAATACATAGCAGTTGCATAAAACATTGCTAAAAAATAATTTATTAAAATAATTCCTCAAAAACCCCACCAGCGTTAATTCCACTCAATTGTTGAGAAATCATCATAAACAAAACAAGTACCAAAGGCCATGGAAGTTTGGTAACATAAATGTCTTTCATTGAGGAAGGAGCTCCAGAATTAGCTTTTGCACCCTCTTCAGAAATTAAGTCAAGTTCAGCTTGAACCTATAAATCAGAATTCTGGTTTCAAAGTTTGGTGATTAAAAATTTTGGTTTTTAAAATTAAAATTTTGGTTTTGCAAATTAATAAATTAAAAACAAACATCTTCACTCTCACAAAGTTTTTTCAAGTCTTTCTCTGCTTGATCTGTTTGACCTTTAACAACAATAGTGAATTTAGGAGTCTCACGGCTAAATGTAAGAGTGCGCAGTTGAACGAGAACAGACACCTTTGAAAAATAAATAAAAATTAAAAAGGATTTTTGAGTGAAAAATTAAATTTCCATTTAAAATAAGGATTAGAACGAATAAATCAGGGGAGTCGTGAGGTTAATCTTAAAAAATGGTTTTGCCCCTCCCTTGTCATTCTTGCTTAAAGATTTCAAATAGCGAATTGGATTTGCACAAGAAAAACGAATTTTTGAGGATTTAGTAAAAATTTAAGACTCTTCAAAATTACCTAATTTTACCTATTCATTATTTAAAAATTTTTAAATATTGTTGCCTAACATAATTAAATTGAGAATTTGCAAAGAAATTGACAGAAACAGATTCCATTTTTAATTGGTTTGAATCAATTAACTCAGCAATAATAGAATATTCCTTTAAAAAATAAATTTAAAAATTTTTTGTTTAATTTTAAAAAATACCCGTTTATAATTAGGAAGATTAAAAACAAATAAAGAAGAATGACTTTTAATTAATTGTTCATTAATTTGCATTATTATCTTCTAATAAAACAACTCTAAATCAATTAGAATTCTTTCTTTGTTCAATTCCAATTTCTCCAATAACTAATGGAGATTGACGGTCAGAATGTAAAAGTGAAAAATTTATATCATCTTTATTTTCTGTTCCAACCTAAATTGTTTTTGAAAATCTTGTCATTAAAATTTTAAAAATTTACAATAAAATTAAAGAAAGAAGGAAAGGCAAGAATACATTCACCTCCTTCAGAATTTTTTAAAGAAATTTGATAATTGCATTAAAGTTTAAGTCCTTTAATTCGAAAATCACCAGAACGTTGATCTATTAAATCTTCTTCCTTAAAAAGGAAAAAAAATTAAAATTAAAAAATTGATTGACATTCGGAAACAATAAAAGAAAGAAATAGTTAAATAGATTTCTCATTGTCAGCTTATTGTTAGGCAGCCCGTATCAAATGGATAAAAACAATATTTCGACTTTTAGCCATATTTTAGGGAAAAATCAATTTTAGGGAAAAATCAATAAAATTTAAAAAAACCTGATGATTCTCACATCCAACAGAAATAGCCTCAACACGAATTGGAAATTTAAAAGGCCTCTTCCAATTGTTGAAACTTTTCCAAAAGCACTATAATAAGAGTAATTAAAATTTATTTAAAATTTTAAAAAACCTGTAAGCAATTCTTTTTGCTTCCAAAATTAATTCCTTTTCTTCTTCATTTATTTGAACAGAAAAAGACCGCAGTTGGCAGGCGAAACTTCAGTCAAATACTTTGGTGCCAATCCACTGTTTAAACCTAAAAAAGGAAAAAATAGTTTTATACCGATGGAATTTTTTTGATTTTAAACGATTAAATATCTGGATAAAATTTGATCCCAAAAATATATTAGCCTAATTTTTCTCAATATATACAAATCTTGAAAAATAAAATTTATTTTGGGATTGGAGTTAGGATTGTTGTCGACAACTAGGGTTGGTGGAACCGGTACCCTGATCAGAAAAATGTTCGAATATCGGTAAATTATTCGGAGATTTCCCACTATCCGTCAACCTTAAGATCAAACCAAAAACACATCGCTCAATGGGCGAAATTTTTACGCTGAAACCCCAAAACGTCTCAGCTACTTAGGAAATTTAATTTTCTCAACTCACCAGCATTTATTCCAACAATAAGACGGTCCAAAATAAAAAGCCAATAATTTTCCACAAAATTTAGCTCCCGCCATTAAAGTCCCAGCGATTATAGCTAAAGCGTTGTTGTACAAAAGTGCACGTTTACTTTCAAGTTTTGTAGCAACAATTCCAACCAAATTTCCTCCAATCATGCCACCAACAGCAAAAACTCCAACTGCGATACCCCTAAAAATATTTAATAATTTTAGAGAACCACACCCCCGAAAGTTTCAAATAGGGCACTTCCCGAACACCAGGTAATTTTCACTTGTGGCGGCTCAAAGTATTTAATCAACTTAGATTTTAAAATCAACTTAGATTTTGATATCTAAAGATTTCCCAGGAAAGCCAACCTTGCTCTTTCCCCGCCCATAAAATCCAGAGAAAATCAAAAAATTTAAAACCTGAAAAAGATTGTTGTACAATACCAGTCAAGTATACATTGATTTCCCTTCTCCTCCATTTTGTTGTAAATAACCTTAAAATAATTAATAAAATATTATTTTTTAAAAATTAAAAAGAAAACCTTTAAATTTTAGAAATATTATTTTTTAAAAATAAAATATTATTTTTTAAAAATTAAAAAGAAAACCTTTAAATTTTAGACCATTTCCCCGCCCATAAAATCCAGAGAAAATCAAAAAATTTAAAACCTGAAAAAGATTGTTGTACAATACCAGTCAAGTATACATTGATTTCCCTTCTCCTCCATTTTGTTGTAAATAACCTTAAAATAATTAATAAAATATTATTTTTTAAAAATTAAAAAGAAAACCTTTAAATTTTAGACCATTGCCATTTAACGGACCCGGTAATTTCTTCAGAATATTTACATTCAAAATGCTATAGCCAAGCATCCATAACAACACCCTTTAAATAAAATAAACTAATATTTAGAATTAATTTCCCCCAGGATCCCTAACAGAAAATCAATCTAAGTCAATCTAATCTTAAATTGTACAAATTAAAATGTTTATAAAATTAAAGATAAAACCTTTAAAACAAAACAAAACATTAGATGTATTAAAATCCAAATAATTTTTCCTTAAATGATTAGACGAGTTGAGAGTCCATCAATTTAAAGAAATCCATCAATTAAAATAATTAAAAAATATAAGTGTTAAACATGATTGTTTAACGTTCCAAAAATTTAGGTTAATCCCTTAAATAGATTAAATATTAGAAAATTTCTTCAAGTAAAAAAATACATATTATTTTCACAAGTCTTTTTGATGAGTCATCAAAAACTTGAGATATTTTTACAGGGTGAGCCGTTTTGTCGCGGGCATTTTACATAAATAGACCGGGTTCGAACTTTCGAAATAGAAGATAAAATGTTTAGAAATTTAATAGTCGGTAAATATTAGCTTAGCTTAAACTTCTCAAAATTACTTCTTAAAACAGAATACATTTCAGAAACCTTAGTTTTGACTTTAAGGGGTCTGATATTTTTTTTTTTGCATTTTGAACTTTTACCATTTTGGCCCCTTACTGTACAGTCGCGACAAAATATGGTAGTGAACTGTCTATGATACAACCCGGGCACTGAACCATCCCAGTCGCTTAGTTTGAAGGGTTTAAGTTAAAATATAACTTAAGTCAATTAACTTCCCAGTGGCGGAGTCGTTAGTGTCTCCGCCTTTAGGCTAGGAGTCACCGGATCGACCCCGCCACTGGGAAGTTAATTATTTTTAAAAATGGCGTTTTGTCGGGTGGCGTTTTGTCATTGGTCATTTTGTAGGGTGGCGATTTGGGAGGTGGTGTTTTGTAGAGTGACATTTTATACAGTGGCAAAAGGTTTGGGATGAGTCATCAACTTCTATTTTCCCTGCACGTACATTTAGGGGCGGGGCAAAATCAATCAATAAATTAATAATGATCCTTATGTAGTCGCCCACGTATCCTCATTCGGGGCTGTATTGCTGTGAAGTTGAAGTTGCATGAAGATATGTTGTTGTTGACGGTGACGAGTATGAAAAACGAGCTGCTTTTATAGTGTTTTTTTGCTGATATTCCAGTCTTCCTTCTTGATAATATACTATAAAAGCCCCCACATTTCATTCTTTTCCACCAGCTCTAATGCAATTCTACATGCTCATCCGCTGCCTTCATCCAATGGGGCTCGACACCGGACCTTTGGCCAAAAAGTCGTCAACGCTGTGCTCTCTGCTGCTGCTGCTCACCATCGCCGCACATGCAATTCCCGGTCAGGACAACAGCGAAGAAGTCGGATTCGGCAAGCACACGAAGACAAACGACACAGTGATGCTCGCCGGCGAACCCATAGTTGCCAACAATACGTACTTCAACTTTACTAGTTGTCGCTTCAAGGAGCTGTATCCGGACGCCTGCGATGTTTCAATCGAAGACGACTACATGT